ATATATTATTAATATAAATATTTTTTTTAATTTGTATCACCATTAAAGGTCACGTGATAAAAAATTTATTGCATTTTTTAGCATAACTTACAATTCTGAGTTTTGATGTTTTTTCCCAAAATTGGCCACGAGGCGCAGCAAGTTGCGGGACTAGGTGACTTGCACCATATCAAAAAACACGTTTTCCTGATGTATTTGTAATTATTTCAGATACTCGTAATTATTTTGGGTGCTTGTAATTATTTTGAATGCTCATCATTCCAGATATTTGTATAAATTCTAACAAACTATTATTAATTTTTTCTTGTTCTTTAATTAATAATGTTTCTTTTTTAGACATCATCAATTTGATTGTTTATTTCAAGCTATATCAAAAAATTATTAATAAATTATATCATACAATCAAAAAATTACCATCATTTTTTATCAGGTGTAAGAATATTATATTTTAAAAATGATTTATTCAATTGAAGTATTAGGAAAAATTTTCTGCAAATTCCTTATCTTTATTATCTTTGAAAAAATGTTTGTTATATAGCAGGATAAGTTAATAAGTTAATACTATTGTTACCAGAATTAGATTTTGACACAGATCTTTTGGTTGAATCTCTTAATTCCGTGACAATTTAAATTTTATTTCTATCTTTATTTTTATTTATATTATTATTTAATCTATTCTTATTTTCATTATTTTTATTTTTATTATTTTTATTTTTATTAATTCTATTTTATCAATAATGTGTATAATTATTTATTATCATCTGAATTTGTGTTACTTAATTTTTATTAATTAATCTGTAGCACATTCATATTTATTTAACTTTATTTAGTGGAGATTAATGATGATTATCCCAGACTGGGCGAAATCGCCCAGACCAGGCGGAATTGCCCAGACCAGGTTGCCAATTCAGGCTAATATGTAAAGAACATGTATATAAAGAACTTGATTTCAACCTAATGTAAAAGTAACTTGGTAATAAGTTAATTAGTTTCAACTAAGAAAACTAAATAAATAAAATAAATATTTTATTTAAACTATTATCTTCTTTAAACAAAATTATTCGCTAATACCAAAATCAATTCATTGATTCTGATCCACACAAAAATAAATCACCAATTAAATATGCTCTCCCAAATTTAATTGGTGACACTATTTGTTATCAATTGATAATCATTCATAACAAATGATTCAAAATAAATACAAGTATCCAAAATAATTACAAGTATCCAAAATAATTACAAAACAAATTATATATATTCAAATATCCTTGAATAAATTGATTTTCAAATATTCGTAAAAAATTTGATTTTTGGTTAGGAACACTATTCTAAACTTGATTGAAATCATTTGTTTCACAATATAAAAAAGACCAACAACTGATTTTGTCACACGTGATAAAACGAATGTCCACTCTAGGGGTATGGGGGAGCATAGTGGAAATTTGAAATGTTGCACTAATTTTTATATTGTGCAATGTAGCTTTACAATACATGCCAAACATTCTGGCAATAAAAAGTAAGTGATAAACTGGATTTGAATTGGATCTGAACTTGATCTCCAATTTAGAGAGGTAACAACTATATACTGGCGAAGTTTCAGAAGCAATGAGCTCTGTACAACATTTAATGTAACAACAAATTTCCACTATGCTAATACTAATACACTGTACAAAATACCAAACTGGGAATTGTATCACGTGAATCCATTGTAAACACTTATGGTGGTGATAGGACCCCCACTTTATTACCATTTTAAAAATGATTTACAAAATCATCGTAAAATTTATCCTAATTAACAAATAATATAGGCCAAAACTGAATGTACTAGTACCATCTCCTAAAATTGTTCAGGTGATTCTAAATTGAGGTCTGTCATGTGTAACAACATATCACATGACAAATTGTTCGAAAACACGTGATACTGGTAATACTAATTAATTTATGGCGCTCTAATTTGTGGCTCAGTAGATTATAAAATAAAAATTGATATTTTCTAAAATTGATTACATACTTTAAATTTTCATTATTCCTTATTTAGACTTTTGTTGTGAGAATAACATTTATCCATTATATAAAGTTCATTGAAAATAGCATTAAATACGCCTTACATTCAACACATTTTTATTATCAGTATTATTATTAATGGCTAGTTCATTGGTAATCGATGATATTACTTTGAACGAGGATCTTGAAGAATTGGAACTCGAATGGCCTTGTAAGCAAGCAAGCAACATCAATTTTATCTATTGCTATTATGATTATTATCATGCTTAGATCTATCTGAAGAAATTATTTCTACATTAATGATTAATATTAATAATAGTAATACATATTTCTGTTCTTTGCTAATAATATAATTCTAGCTTCAGACTCTGAACTTTCTGATCACAAACGTTCTTGTTATACAGTATGCAATTTTATCATTATTATTATTGAGGGAGATTTGGCTTTGTAAATAAATATACAATTATTATTATTTATAGCTCCGAGAAGTTACAGCACGAGATGCAGAAAATGGAACGGATGTGGTATATATATTTATAAATAAAAAATAAATGTTATTTATTGGTTAAATGATAAAGTATAATTTACATTATTTTTAATTAGCAAGGAATTAATTGGGATTCTTTCAATGTAACACGGCAAAGATATCGTGAAGTTCGGTAAATATATTATAGATTATAGATTAATGAATTAAGAAAGGAACAAAAAAAAGACATTAAAAAATATCTTTATATTTATAATTATAGCCTTAAGAATTATAAAAATTATGAAAATGTTCAAGGGTCCTATGATCAAATAAAAGAGGTAATGAATTATTAATTAACATTGACTATTGTGTGATATTTATTATTCTTATTCTTATTCTTATTCTTATTAATAATATATTATATATATTATTTTAGGAAATAAAACCAGTTCGTAATGATGGCGAATTTTTCAAATTTAAATATACAACACTTTCACATAAATGCTCTATTGTTCATTTTCAATTGAGAAATTTGTTATGGTCAACCGGAAGAAATGATATATTTTATACTCGTATGTTCAATGATATAATTGTAATTGTGTAGTTATATATAGTTTTATATTTCTAATGATGATCTATTTATAGATTCATCACGTATCAATTATTGGAATTCTATTATGAAGAAATCTAAAGTCGCATTGGATTTAGATCAAGCTTTTGAAATCAGTACAATCGCATGCAGGAATAATTTTTTACTTGTTGGTGGTAAGTAATAAATTAATAATAATTATTTTTTATTTTTAAAAATTATATAATTTCGTTACGCATATATACATATTTACTATTTTGTTATAGGATTATACGGCGAGTTTGCATGCCGGCGTCTTGATGCCGAACCGATACATTTTGGAACAGTAACTACAGATGCAAATGGTATAACAAATCATATGGATATCATTGAATCTCGAACTGGAAGTAAGTAATAAATCGTTTAATGATTATTTTATTATGAAAATAATTATTAACATTATCGTGCTTTATTTTTTTTAAAAAATAATAGGCACTGTTGCTGTGATATCTAGCAATGACAAAAAATCCCGAATAATGGACCTCGCGTCATTAAAGTTTATCGACACATACGATTTTGAATGGGCTGTTAATGTATTTTATTTTTATATAGTTCTGAAGATTATGCTTAAGAGGTTTAATTCATTATTTTTTAAAAAAACAATAGTGCACATCAGTCAGTCCAAACAGAGATCTTTTGTGTGTTGTAGGCGATGATACAGAAACTATGATCGTTAGTTCAGAAACAGGCAAAGGTATGCTAAAAATAAAATGAATGATATACTATTTATTGTTTTTATCGTTATCTATATAATTATATTTATATCTCAACTATTTATGATAAAATATAGTTGTATCCGTTCTAAAAGGTCACATTGATTATTCGTTTGCATGTTGCTGGAGTCCAAACGGAAGAATAATTGCGACAGGAAATCAAGGTAATATATACACTTATATATGTTCTCATTTAATTTAATAATTTTCATAATTATCGCCGAGAATATTAAAATAATATCTAATTATATTTACTATTAGATAAAACCACTAGGTAAATAAATACAACCGAGTTGTGACTTATTAAAAATTTAAAAAATATATATAAGATCTTTAATTGAAAACCTTCTTTGTTAAAAAACTATTTTGATAAATAAAAAAGATTATATGATACAAGGAATATGTCAAAATCATTTGCTGTATTGGGTGCTAAAATAGGAGCTGTAAGATCACTTCAGTTTTCAGCAGACGGACGATATCTTTCAATGGCAGGTTAGTAGCATTATTAAATTTCCTTTGTAATTTTTTCTTTTAAATTTTACAATTAAAATAATAAAATTGTTATTATTATATTATAGAACCTGCAGATTTTGTTCATGTATTTGATGCACATACTTTTGAAAGATCACAAGTATTTGATTTATTCGGTGAGATTGCAGGGGTCACTTTTACACCAGATTCAGAAGGATTATATATTGCAAATGCCGATGAAAATTATGGGTAAATTACACGAGATTATTATTTTTTAATCTTTATTAATTTTTTACAAATATTTAACACTATATTTATTTATTTTATAGGTGTATTTTAGAATATGAGAAAAGTTCTTCAATGAATAATAATGAAAACATCATTCTATGATTTAATTTCATTTGATGTTTATTACCATTATTATTATTACTATTACTATTCTTTTGATATTCATTTAAATTTAATTTGGTTGAATCAAAACTAATAAATTAATTTTTTTCTTTCTTTATAAAGTAGACTTTTATGAAGATAATATTTAATTAACACACATATATGTAATACCTTTTTTTTATTATTTTTTAAATTTGCAATTGTACATTATCGTTTATACAAAACATGTATTTACTACTGCTACCACCATCATCTCCATCATCACCACTATCACCACCACTACTAGTTACCATTGTCATATTACTCTTTATTGGTTAATATTCTCTTTTTTTTTCTTGATGATAAATTTTGAAAAAAATAATATATATATAAAATTAAAAAAAAGGAAAAAGATGCAATTGTTAACCATAATAAATAAATAATAAATAAATAATAAAGAACTAATATTCTTTTTATTACAATTTTTATTAAAAAAAATATTACGCATGTACAAAACCTACGCCTACACGATTCATAGATATTAAATAATTATCATGGCAAATAAACATAAGCAGAAGCATAACTAACACTACTATCATTCTTATTCACTACTCTACTAGATTGTGAATAATGTACAAATCTAATCTTGGGTATTTTTGATGACAGCGATGATTCGCCAGAATTAGCAGTTTCTGACACTGCTTCCATTGTATTAGCTGCAGTAGAAGTATTAGGTAATGCTTCAATTGCAGCCAACAAAACTCCAATAGGATGTCTTCCACAAATAGTATTTTTAGTTCTTTGAAGATAATTAACAAAATTTTTATGATTGATTGTTTCAATAATTGACATTCCTTCACGATCAAGGTTTTCAATTGATTTATAAATTGGAATTGAAATTGATGATGGTTGGTGAATTTCATTATTGTTATTAGAAGAAAAAGGATAATCTGCACCTGAATAATAAGTATATGAAAATCTTTGTCCCCTAAAAAATGCATAAAAAATATAAATATTAATCGATAGATATATACATAAACACACATGTATATGTGGTTTTGTTTTTTTTCTTAAACATACCAATGACAAAAATCTGATGAAATAATAAACAAATTGGATGGATCAGCAAGATATGGTGCTAATAATTTCCCATAAAATTCTTCTTTGCTTGAAGATAATGAGCCAACCATAATTGGTACAATTTTGATAGAGTTTATCTTGCTGAAAAATAAAAATCATTTACAAGTGGTTATATATATATATGAAATTAAATCCTTTAAATTTATTTTTAATATTCTCCCAAAAAAATTTTAATTAAAAACCTTTCAAAAATCTTATAAGTATATGGAAGATGCATTTCTATACTATGTTCTTCTTCATCAACAGTTTTTTCCATTTTATCAAAATGCCTAGTTTGAAACAACTCATTAATAACTATTATTATTATTTTTATCATTTAAAAGAAAAAATTGTTAGTATTATTAAAGTAGAAATAACAAAATATTCATTCTAACAACATAATTTATTTACCAATTACCTTCAGTATCCAAAGTCAAATTTCCTAAAGGTGTGATATACTCTGTACATTGTGATAATGCACACTTAGTAAGATAAACATGATGAGATGGTCCAAGAATAAAAACTCGTTTTCTAAATAATAATAATAATAATAATAATAATAATAATAATAATAATAATAATAATAATAATAATTAAATATTTTTAATTATTTCCAAGATAAATAAGTTTATGTTACATACACAGATTCAGGATCTATACATTTATAAGCAAACGCAGACGCTTGTCCACTATACGAGTATCCGGCATGTCTTATTCAAAAAGAGAATAATAGAATAGAATTGATCAAAAAAATAACAAATCAAAAAAAATATTTGATATAAATCATATAGATCATACGGAGCAATGATAGCACGAGCTCCAGGAATTGGTATTGGTATGTCATCTTTTGTTTTCGATGGAACTTTTGATAACCAATTTGTAAGTTCTTTATCTAACAACGATTCTATCGTGAAAAACAAATAATCAAAGTTATTTTTGAATTATAAGACACACATAGAATCTTGCAAATAATTTTCTTTTTATAAAAATTATCTACCATTTACCTTGATCAGTGTACCAAGAACCAGCATGGTAAGCCTCTCTTATCATCTTTTTTGTGGAATTAAGATAATAATGATAATCCTTGCGATGGTTTATCACATTTCTATTTAGTATACGATTTTCACCAATCAAAAGATATTACAATTTGGATACCACTTAAGACTCATCTTGATATACGATTAGTGCAAAAAATACATTAGAAAAAAAAGTAACAATTATTACTACGGGAAAATTAGTTCGCGATTGTGAATTGGGTAACGGGACCTCGCCACAAAATCAAGCATGTGGCGCGAAAACGTGGGTAGATTCTTTTTATTTTACTAATAAATTTTAACATTAATAAAATTATTTGTTATTGCTGCTGAAAATCGTTGCAGCCGTTGTTATTGCATTTGTTGCATATTTAGTCTTGAATTACTTGCACTGTGTTGACTATGTTGATTGTTGCTGTCGTCGTCATCAAGATGGTGATGCTATCGATTATTGTGAATAGAATGAAATTGTTCATTTTTAATTATAAAAAAAAAACGAATTTAATTTTAATAAAAATAATAATTTGAATTTAAAACGTGTTTTCATTGCCCACGTTCAAAGTTCCCATAGATGAGAAGAAAAAGAAACAAGTATTCACTATAACAAGTAGGCACCATTGATCAATTGCCGATTTTAGTTTTTTTATTTTTTAATTTGTTTTAAGATAAGAATTAATAGCAATATTGACCGTAAAAAATTTTAAATTATGTAATGAAAAATTAAATAATGCCCAAAGTCTTAGATTCAAAATGAAAATTTAAATTTAAACACAAATACAAATCGTCTTATTAATTTCAAAATCAATCATGCCAAACTTTAGACCATGTGTAATAACTGGTTGCGAAGGAACTGCTCAATTTGACAGGTAGCTCTATTGTGAAAATAAGAAAAAAATAAATAATATAATCTTATAAAAAGAATTATCAATTATATTCTAAACATTACCTAATATAAAAATAAAGGAGCAATCAGAAAAACAACCCAAGCGAATTATTAGATGTAGACTACTTAAAAAATTTTCAAGAAATGTCTGATTCATATGACGAATCTTCTTCATATTAATTAGTACTCCTGCTAATGAATTGGACTGATCAGATATCAAAGTTAATTTTACTGGAAAAAATGTTATTATGTCAAGAGAAGATTGTTCATTATTAGTCAATAATATGTCATAAATGAGAATAACAATCCATCAAATTATTATTATGCAGGAGAAAACAAATAAAATATTAAATTCCATTAATATTAATGAATCTTAGAGGAAATCTTCCGTTCAAAAATAAAAGTTATCACTTGACATTTGAATATATTCACAATTATTTCAAATTGTTAGTTGATTTCAAATAATCAACAAAAGTCATGAATCCTGTTAATCGTAGGATGTTATTTATCCGTTATCTATACAAATATTATCATTGATGCAAAAAATTCTTTTGCCAATAATAATTATAGTGGTGGAAAATTTATTAATAAGGAGTGAAATGATTATTAAATAATCCTTATTATTTAAAAGCGTCTTCATGAAGTAATGATTGGAGCAAAATGTTACTTTTATACATATGAATAAAGTTAAATAATCTCAAACATTAAACATTAAACATTAACACAGTTAGTGTGATTAATAAAAACTTTTATATGTATAAAACGCAGATTATTGATTAGATCACTAATCATCAACTTTTACGCATTATGCCTTTTGCTCTGTGAAATTATTACTCTTTGGTATATGAATGAATATTCTATATGTAATGCAGATTTGGGGTGTACTTTTAGGGGGGTTTTAATAACAAGTTCCCAAATATGCATAATAATAACAGAGCATGCTGGCACAACATCCAAATTTTCCCTCGCTACAATATATGTTTACTTGCTATTCGTAATACGTTTATTATTCAAAATATTTATTATTACGTATTCATAATAATAGTACAATTCATAATATTCGTAATATTCGTAATGTTTGCAACAATTCATAATATTCATTCAAACCATTTATGGTTATTTGAAATATTCATAATATTTATGGTTAGTTGGCTATCCATCCATAACTAGTATAAACCTAATTCCAACGCAGTTTGGGTACTAATACTTCAATATTAAATGAGTGACTAGGCTCCCGGATAATTCTAAAGGTAATATAGATAAAAAGGAAAGTTTTCAAAATTACTATTATTCCCTTGTTGTTACACGAAAATTTTCTGAAAATTGAATTTCTTAATATTAATTCGTGAAGGAATGGATTTAATTGGTGATCGGTGAGGTGTATTCACTACATTTTATAGTAAAAATCATCCAGTTCGCCTTGTTTCCACTGCATTTTTCAAAACAAACATTTGGATATCAATAAACACTGTTGTGAACTTTTTTTGTCTAAGTTTCTTTCGCACTATTTGGGATTTACAAATAATAAAATGACATAATATAAAAAATTATGTTTATTGGTTTATATTTTGTTTATGCCATAATAATAATGTCCAATTCTTTTTTATGTCCCTGCTAAAATGTGATACCCAATTTTCTACGGTTTTTATTTTTGGTAACTCATCTGCATCCAATTCACTTGCTTCCACTCTTTGTTTTAGATCTGCGAGCAGTGAATCTATTCTGATCTACATTTCCTAACAAAAATAGGCTTTTGGAAGTTAATTTACTTGTTCAGACATGCATTTACTTCCACCACCCTTTCCAAAATTTTGCTTTTCATGAAAAGTCCAACCTAGCTCAAAGTAATTCATTCTAAAAATTTTAAAATTAACATCTAGAAAATATTAAATTTTTTTCCTATTAGGGTTCACTCTCTCTATAATGGACCATTTGGCTTAGGAAAAAATGACAATAATTTATATATTGTGAGTGAATAAATCCCAAAATACAGGCTTGAGAGGTGTCTGATAAACATATGAAGATAATAAAAATATAAAGTCCAATAATATATAAATACTGCTGACACACAGACTTATGTATTCTATGCCAACACATGGCTAAAATCAATTCTGACACACAGAAATCCAATGCTGCCCAGCATATGAAACTTCAAACTAATGCCCAACACACAGAACTTCAAAAATGCTGACACATAGCTAAAATAAAGAAATAAAAGAAATATAGTCAAGAAATATTTATAACTATACCACTTGAATTGTCTCTATAAACAACATAGTAATATTAAAAAGAGTTCCTAACTAATGATTAAAGGTTGGCCAAACCCTTAATCATTAGAAAAGGTTATGAATCAATCACACTGGTTTATTAATTAATTAGAGTCAAAGACTATTTGATGTAAAAGTGTTTTTATTATGTTAAATTAATTATTAGATCAGTTGTTGATTGTTCTAATTTCTAAATGTTAAATACTTCTTTGAGTATTACATATAATGTGATTTTTGCTATTCTACTACCCATTAATATAGATTACTAATGTTAAATATTTTAAAAGAAAATGACAAACTTGATTAATAATACATATGGATAAAAATTGAAAAAAATTCATTGATTGTTTTCAATATTTAGTGCATTACATGACTGCCATAGTAAGTTCATTCTGATCGATTGACATTAACAGGGACAATTGGTTGGTCCACAATTTACTATCGCACAATACATATAATAAATATAATAATAATATCTGATAATGAACTGTATTAAATGATCTGCAAGTTATTTAACCAATTAACAGTTCAAAAAAATTTTTGAGCAAGTTAAATTATCAACATTGATTGATAGGGATGATGTATTGTTCAACACTGCACCTTGGAATGAATTTCTACACAAATTTCATAGGAAATAAGCTCAGATAATAAAACATTTATTTAGATCTATATAATATTGCAAGTATATAATTTTCAGTTACAAACTTGTGATATGCCTAAAGATGGGAACTACAATTAGCTGTAAATCCAATAATTATAAAACTGCACTATTCCAGGTTCCCAACCTAGTGCAATTTCTTATTCAGTACAATCCCAGCTCCTGTCTCATGCTTCTAAACAATAAAATAAAGAAAAGAAATAAACTATAAGGGTATTCCAATGGTAGGATAATATTTAGTTACAGATTAATTTGCTTTACAGCAAAGGATTAACATGCAAATATTTTACTATCACCCCAGTCAATTAGTAAAAATGATTGATATTTACTGTTTGGGAAATGATCCACACATCAAATTAGTGAGTACCCTACTTATGATGATATTTTTCAGTTAGAGTTTCCTTTTTGAATTTAATTCTCTATTAACCTAAACAGGATACTGGTTAACTATAAAAATTAGTAAATTTAATCCAAAGGGTCTCACTAATAAATTTCCTTTCTGGATAATTCTATGATAACCAATGTGAAAAATTCATCAAAAATTTACATAATAAAAATCATGTTTTTAAAACAATGGACCATATCCTACCTGAATCATAGTGTTGTAATTACCCTTCTCACTCAGTCACATTCTTTATTTAATCTTTATTATGTAGTATTTCAAAAAATCATTCTTATGTTTTCTTTCAAGTGGTGTATATTCATATTACCACATTTTGAAATTTTAGTCACTGAAATCTAGTCATGACTTAGTTGGCTTGGGAAAATTTCTCAATGATAGCTACAACTGGCTGACACTAGGTCAAATGCAAAATCATCTATACTCAAAAGTTAAAAAATTGAAATATTATGTGATCCATATGTTGGATTTTAAAAAAAAACCCCACCATTCAATTCAGCTTTAAAAGGTTATGAATTTGAGAGTTGCAACAATAATTTTTATGTTACAATATTTTGAACTGTATGTCCAAATTTAATAATGATTTTCTTTTGATGCAATACAGTCAACCCCATACATGCAGTCCAAAGTATTTTGACACTGTCATAAAGGGGGTTACACATGTCATAAAGGGGTGTTACACTTATGTTTTTAATAGCAAGTGCTGTAATTAATTTCTACTTTCTACCATCAAAATTGAAATAATTTTGACCATTGAAATCACCAAACCAATTTGGGCTGCATGTATAGTCAACCCCCCTAAGTGCAC